CAAGGTACATGCCCTTGACTGGAATCGAACCTGGGACCCTTCAGTCCGCAGGCCGATGCTCTATCCACTGAGCCAAACCAGTCAGGGCAATATTTTTTTAAAAATGTTTGAAAAAAATCTATATGGCATATATGTCCTGACTCAGCTCAAAGTTTGATAATGATATTACAGGAATAAATAAAATGAGGCACAAAGGTTGGACCAATCTTCTTATCATTGGCATGGAAAAAACTTCCCAGAAAAGGTCATATCTAAACTGGATTTTTTTAGGAACAAATAACATTTCCCAAGATAGAAAATTTTTTGGGTGGAGGAGAACGGGAAGAAATGCCAGAAGAGGGAAGAAGATGTACATAGGTAGTGTGATATGAAGTTATGGGGATGACTGTCAAAGGGGTTAAAAAGGCAAACTGTAGAGAGTTATACCTAGAAGAAGGGAAATGAGCTAAAAGCTCATTAAACAAACACTTGGGTAATACTTAACAGTGTTACAAAACCTATCAGATTTCTCCCAGGTCAGAAGATCAAATGATCTTTAATTTTTCTAGATTTATTTAAGTTTCAACCTTGGCTCCAAACCCCTAGTCAGTTTTCGCCCAGACCTGGGAAAAGGCACATTCTCATACATGGCTGGGAAAACATAAATGGATAAAGTTGATTCTCTCCCTCGCCCTCAAATATACCTAGAAGAAAAATATTTGAAAAAGAACAAGGGACTTTCTCATCTAAGTATCAAAATATTCATTAAAAGAGTATGGTACTGCCCTAGCCGGTTTGGCTCAGTGGATAGAGCGTCAGCCTGAGAACTGAAGGGTCCCAGGTTCGATTCTGGTCAAGGGCACATGCCCAGTTTGTGGATTTGATCCCCAGTGGGGGGCGTACATGAGGCAGCCAATCAATGATCCTCTCTCATCACTGATGTTTCTATCTCACTCTCTCCCTTCCTTCCTGAAATCAATAAAAATATATTAAAACAACAACAGCTATCATTCTTTTTTTTATCCACCAGATTGGCAAATACAAAATATACTGCTAATACTTGGTAATGAAGAATGTGAAGGAGATACTGCAGAAGAGTGACTCAATGATAGTTAATTAACCAGTCTACTTCGTGGGATCTATTCTATAGAAATACTTGAGCATATGCAAAGACACATTCCAGCTTATTAACTGTGTTGTCTATAATACTGAAAAACTAGAAACAACTTAAATATCAGTAGGAGAATGATTAAATAAATTATGGTGAATCTGTATTATGAACTATC